TGAGCACAAGTTGTTCCCTTTTCTTCTGTCTCTGCTTGAATACAGAGCAATATGGTGTCCTTCAAACATCTCCCATCAAAGCAATGGCTAGACAGGAAACAGCTGAAAAGCATTTACTCTGAAAAGTCATTTTTTCTATGTGTGAACGTACAACTGTATCCGTACAATTTTTATTTGTCAACACTAACACAGAAATCAAGATTCAGTGGAAAGGCTAATTCACATGATACCAGGCACTGAGCAGCAAATCCTGGACTTCAAGAATACAGTGTGGTTTGTTACTGTTCCACATTGACTTTTTTCACTAATATCTTTAGTCTTCCAGTTGGAATAAATGGAATAAAATACACAAGTAAACTTGCAGGCTACAGGCAACAGTAGCCTTAGATGCATTAAGGTCAAAAGAGACGGACCACCAAAAACATGAACGTGTCAGAATAAAACTAATTAAATTAATCCAAGATGTATGTGACTCTTGTGTCTTCTAGAACCACAGGCAGGAATCAGCTGTTAATATTCTGTTTAATATGTCCGGTTGGTTAGAACCACCAAGAACTTCCAAATGTTTGGTTTGTTTAGTTTTGTTAAGTAGAGGGAAATGACCTAATTTTTCTGATATAAATTTCACAGGCCAGCTACTCTAAAGTGCATTTGTATGAATAAAAACTACTTACCCAGAGGGACATTCGAAAAGGCCTTTCAGACAAAAGAAGCCCTAGTGTCAAATATTTTAGTCATTAAAACATAGAACAGCTGCATGTTCTCAGTGAGGTAGCGTCTGGAGCAAGAAAGCAAGTTTGAAAATGTGTATGTCAATGAACTTCATTTTTTGCGATTATGATGTATAAAGATTGTGTAAAAATAAATTATAGCACTGATAATGTCTGTTAGAATAATCTACTTCTGAATAGTTTTAAATACAATGGCTCCGTCTAAGTCCCTTATACATTACATATATCTGGCACAGTTTTTCTCTTAGGGGGATGATTCACTATTGAAACATGGTAGTAACTCTTCAGTTTGTTAGGACAGTGGAAGAGAGTTCACCCCTGAAAATACACTTCTGCATGGATTTTCCAGCAGCTGTAACAGTGCCACATTTAATAATGGGGCAACTCTGAGTACATCTATAAGAGCTGCAATGTATCATGCATCCACACCACACAAGTTCGGGGAGGAATACTATTACGTTCCCAATGGAATAGCTAAAGCCCACAAGTCACACTTGTCTAAACACAAGTTTAACATCCTCTTCATACTTTTGCTGACAGACAGGCACCTGTCTCTCTGCTGATGCACTGGAGTGAAAAAAAAACCACCATCCAGTCATACGCTCCAGCATCCTGGCTCTTCTTTCAATGCAACTTTAGCGGATTCAAAGCAGTTTACACAGAAGAGCACTGCAGGAACGTCAGTAGCCATTCCGAGGCCCTAATTTTGAATGTGTCAGATTACCACCTCAAGCATGGTTAGATTTCCAACACAGTGAAGAGCTATCTGTAAATACATCCTACACACAGATGACTGAGAAAATATGATCAGTAGCTGGTTACATGTAACACAGCCACTCCAACTAGTGGAAAAACACAGACTGTTAAACAAAACAAAACAACAAAAAAAAGGCGTTATTGCCTAAAAGTAACAGTATGCGCCCAGAATTATCACCACCTCCAAATTTATGAGCACAGCACTGGAGAGAATCAACTGTGCATCAAATCCACTTCCCTGAATTTTAAAGCAACAATGTAATAGGATTTTTGCCAATACTTTCCACAGAGCATCTTCTCTACCAAAATGAAGACAATCCATAGATGCATTAGATTTGCTCAAAATCCAACAGCTTACAGACTTTAATTAACGATAAGGATCAGCTGTGGATGTAGCACAGGAAGAGCTTCAAGAACCTTGCCAATGTAGAAAACCTTTCAATAACATTAAATCTGTTTGCAGTACAGCATCCTCAAAGCACAATGAATGAGCAGCTACTGGAGTCCCTATCCAACACTAACAGAATGAAGCCTGGAGGCAGAATGAAATCCTATTTGCAACATGACTTTCAAAGTACTTCCACATGTTCTGTAATATATAAAAAAAGGATAAATCTGTGCTAGCACTATAAACACCCCAACTCTGCACAAAATAAAAATACCCAAATGCAAGAAGTTAAAAAACAAACCAACTTAACACTACAGCCCGGCATCTCTTTCACCCATCAAACTTTCATGATCTTTCTCTTTTACAAGAGAAACCAAGAGCAAACGTTCCCTATTCTGCATTTGCACTAGTATCCTCTCTCCAAAAAAAGAGCATTAGAGTCTTGCCTAAATAAAATAGCAAGCATTAGAAGAAACAAAGCCCTCAACAGGGCTCCTACTACATTAGTTTCATGTATTTTACTTTCATACAGAAAACCTTAAAAACAGCTGTAGAGACATTTGTTAACAATTCTCAGGCCTTCATCAGCTATACAGGTAAAAATCTTCATCATTTCTGCAAAAGCCAGACTCCAGTCTTGCCACTCAGCTATGCTTTGAGCTCTGAAGAACTATGGCCGATCTTTTTTAGAGAGTGGGCAAGGCAGGCCATAAAAAGTAACAGACTAAGCACCCCCCACTCCTGGTACCATATTCAACTGTGGTTGAGCAGCTATACTACAGGCAATTGACCAGTCTGGAATTCCCATTTAGGAACTTTAAGAAATTGAAGATATTTTCACCATGTTTCAGATTTAAATGCATTCTTATTCATTACCCATTTTTCCCAAAATATCTCAGTTTATTCTGCTCCATTGAAGAGCACCAGGAAGAAAAGTCACCCCATCAGATATTTAAGGACATAGGAGACAGCATACTTTTCCTGGAATGTATGAATTTCTGAATAATACCTAAGAACAGTGTGACAGGATACTCTCCTTCAATAGCACAAAGTTCTATTCTTTTTTGTGAGCAAAATATAGTACCACCCACCAAACCAATGACTCTACATCTGGTTTATCTCGTTCACTCACAATGCCATACTTCCTGTCTGTATCTATTAAACAGCAGTTAACACCCACTTTGCATCCCAAGCCTAATAAAAATTTCCACTACTGCCCATCTCCAGGCATGGTATTTTGGAAGATAAATTCTAATCAAGTAAGCTAAAATGCCTCTCAATGTCAAATGGTTCTGATTTTAAGTTTTCATCTAATTGCAAATTCTTCAAATATTAACAGTCTACCATTCTGACCAAATCAAGAAACGTTTGTAAAGATGAGTTAACTTCAGAGTATTTTTTCCAAAGAGCAAGTTAAATTAATTCAGTGAATTCCAATATAAAGCAGGCAAATAAGGGTAAGTAATTCCCATCATGATGACAGGATGCAAAGACTCATCCATTTCTATGCCTCTTCAACACAGAATAGCCCAAAACCTTTTTTGACTTTGGGTACATGTGCCCGGAATAGATGAATGCTTCATTTAAACACAGGAAGCATTTGTCATTATAAGTGCAAGTCCTGACTGAGAGTTAAATAAAAGTCAGTCTTTAAACAGCAAGAAGTGGTTCACACCCTTTGTGTTCAGTAAAGGATTGAAAAAGTTTGAGTAAAACTAAATGTCTAGAAATTGAGCATTTTGCTTTTCAACCCGTGTAATGGCTAAATTATTAAAAAATAACAAGACTCAAGCTAACAGCCCTCTTCTCTCCTAGACAGTGTTAAACCTTAATCTAAGTCTGAGCTTCCACAAAGCAGTTACTCACTTTCAAAGCTCTGGCAAAACACCATCTCTGATTAGTACTGGATTACAGTTCATTTCTTCTAACAGAACACGAACACAAGATAAATAAGCAAGCAACCATAACAAACTAGAATCATTATATACACTTGAGTATATGTAAAAGCACACATAAGCAACTATAGTAGGGTGAAGTAGGGCATGAACTTAGCATAGAAGTTCTCTCAAATTTATTGTATATCTGCCCATACCCACAGCTTTACAAAAATATCTAACAGCCAGCTTCAAGAGTTCCACCTAGCAACATCACCTGTTTAACTATCAGACAGAATCACTTTAATACAGATAAAAACTAATAAAAGGTCCTTAGATGTCAGAACAAATTTTTCCTTTTGCATAGATATTTAATCCATTAGCTTTCCATAAGTGTCATCTGCTTACAATCTGTAGAGTTAGTATTAGTGTGTTAGTATTAGTGTGCTTTGAGGAAGCAAGTTTTTGATTACAAGGGCAGCATATGCAACAAGACACCTTAAGTTTGATATTTATTTTTATTATTATATTTCTTAAGTATTAACATCAAATACTGTTCTAAAATATTAAAATAACATTGTTTCTTAAGTAAATGGGAAGGAGAAACAGTGACACAAGAAAGTACCTATTTATAATACTTATATAATCTGGAATGAGTTCTCAGAATTCAAAAAGGTAACTTCAGTTTCACATGCATTAACAGTCTGTAACATACACACACACACAAAATCATAGCACCAAAGACACTCTTAGAAGTTAGCAAGTGCTTACAACCTCAAGCACCGGAAGGAAACCCAGGTGTTACTTTGCAATGTTTTCAATTATCAAAAGGGAGGAAGGATTCCTTTCCAAGCATAACCCACCGCTTATCTTACAAGTAAAACTGTAACCATAACTCCACTTTTAACAGAGAAAAATGAGTACCTTTCCATGCAATCCAAGATGTCTACAATTTCTGCTCTTCCAGAAAAATGAAGACAAATATTATATTACTCCTCTGTCTAGCTACATGATTTATCCTACATTATTATCTAGTTGAAATATCTCAGACAGTGATTTTCCAAGGCCTTTGTTGCATGAGTCATCTGGCTTTAAAAAAAAGCCACATACTTTGCAATGAGAGCTGACTGTAAAATAGGTCAGTGTGTAATGAAGCATGCCACAGGCTTATGCTCGCCAAAAAAAAGTCCAAATAATAATTCATGGCAAGAGTACCTCATGGATAACCAAAAGAAAGGCAGAAACTCTTACCTTAACGGGAAAGCTACACTTGCCAGTACGAACGCCTTCTTCATCAGTCTGCCACTGATGAGGCCTACTGGCCTCTGGGACATAGACATCTTTCTTTCTCCTAAAGCTTTGCCGTAGTTTGTTCATTTCTCAGATTTTCACGTCCTAGAAGAAGAAAAAAAGAATACTGCCAATAGGCACCAAAACACACATTTAGCCACTCTGGGTCAACTACTATCATGATAAATGTCCCTGTGAAAAATCTGAGCTTCTGCAAATATGAATGGAGGTATCTATGAAAGCAAAATATTTTGGACATAGATTCAGAGAAAGATAGATGTTCACTTCCAAGTAGAAAACACAAATCTACATTACTTGTTTAGTATCTTTCCACAACAACTGAAACATTAGACCTGGGAATAACGATTACTCTGAGCATGAGGTTACCTAAAACAGCTGACAAAGAAGCTCTGAAGAGTGATGCACATGAAAGCCTGCCTCCCCAAATTTAAACACCTACCTAGAGCAACCTAGCAGGACACCAGTAGCACAAGCTTCCAAGGTACCCATGCAAGGCAAGGATTCAGAGCCCCAAGACTGCTCCTAAAATTTGATACTTGTGCTGTTCTTTAAGTACAAGGAATAGGCTTGTGTTTTTACTGGGGGGCACAGTCCAGTCCTTGCATAGTCTACAGGTAAAAGTTCTTAAGTTTAAATGAGAAATGCACTGAATTGACTTCCATGTTCTGGGTAAATCTCTAAACAATTAGATAGTCTTACCTCTTCAACGGGTAAAGACAGTTCTGTAATTACACTTCCAAAGCCTAGAATTAGATGCTTTTTATACACTATTCTTCTATGTATCAGTTGCTATATACAAACCAATCTATACTTTAGGCATGCTCACCTTTACTAGATTCAAACTACAATTAGCTGAGAAGACATTAGAGGAAGTACTACTAATAAGACGACTCCATATTCAGCTGCCGAAGTAAAATCGTAAGGGATACAATGTGGGGAATATATAAAACATGCTGAAAGGCTTCTTGAGATATTGCTCTTCTTTCCTAACTAAGAAGCCTTCTTACAACCATGATGTCTCATTTTGATAGAAAAAAAGGTGCTGCAGAATGCAAGGCAGCAAAATCTAACTGGATTATATATATGCTTATTTCCCATTAGACTACCTAAACTACAGGATATAGATGTTTACGGGTGTCAATAGGTAGCCTTCGAATGAAAGCAGCTTTAAAAGCAGTTTGAACACTATTTTAAACCCTGAAAAGAACTAGTGTTTTCCAGTTAAAACTATCTGACATAGATGAGAAAATTCAACACATTCATGTTTGTGGTATCTGACATTTAAGAAGCTTAAACTCAAAATGCAACAATTTCAAAGCTGAACAAAAGTCAGAAATTAGAAGCATTACAGAAAATCACTGCCCACCGCTACTAATTCTGATCAGCCAAATTGAAAATATTGTTGTTTTATATCTCATGACACACTTTAGCCATTCCAAGTAACAAAAAGGTGTGAGTTTTGTCACCAACTCCCCAGACCCTCCTTCAGCAACTGTTACTTTCCTCCTTATGCTGTAAGTCATCAGGCAAGTCAGTTCCCCCTGTATCTTATAGGCATGGCATTGGCTCATTTCTCTAGAATCTTCTGTCTTTCCATAATTAAAAGCAATATTGTAAAATAAGTAATAATTTAAAGATATACCCATATAGCAGCAGTATATCACTAGAACTGGGAAATTTAAGTGTGGTGATGTTAACACTTGAAGTGCAAATAAGCATGCTACTCGTGCACGAGTTCAGTGTCGAATGAATGCAACACTGTCTGGTCTTGTAGCATTGCGGGGCATTCTTTCAGCATAAGGGATAATTCCTGAAGTATTTCTACATTAGCAAACAACCAGACCAAACTCCACTTTTGCAGCAAACACCTGCGCTCAAAGCTGCTTGATGAGCATTTGAAAGCAATAAGCAATAATAATGAAAGCAATGTGAAGGGTTGAGACGTATGGCAAAGGCTAGATGACTGTCCCTGGAAGGGAGCATGTACCTAGACCAGACACGAGCTCTAACAGCGTTAAGAGCAGGGATAGGAAGTTGCTCAAAGATTCTGAATCGCAATTACCTAGTTATAAAGCAGTGTTAGCCTCATCCCTTCACAGATGCAAAATGCCTGACATAACTAGCAACATAAAATATTTTCTTGAATTTACTTGGTAGGATTTAGAGATTAGAACATGTGTGCAAAATAAAAACCATGCACATTTCTTACCACTGAACAAGCTGAAGCAGCTCCTCTACAAACACAGTTTCTTTATTTTACAAGCTAAAAGCCATTTAAAAATCTTTAAATGTGCAGGGCAATTCTGGAAGTTTTTAAGAGAAGGTGAAAGGCTTCTATTCTCTATTAAAGCTTAGAGATGATTAGAGCAGTATTAGTTACTTATTTTGCTTTACAAACTGCAGACAGAGGAGTCTATACATCACTGAGTCCAAAGGAACTAGAATTTCAAGGGCGGGGGGGGCATTCAGTCACCTCGGGCAGGTGACATGTACAGCAGCAAATCGACACATGCCACCTCAGCTCACGAGGACAGACACCCACTCTTGTCCCCGCTGAAGACTGGCAGTGCCACAGCAAGATGAGCAAAACCGCTGCTCCATCTGCTTCAGTACGAAGCTCAGGAGTCCGGTCAGCGCGTAGCATAACGCCCAGCTGCCCACCCTTGCACTCGGGTGACAGAAATGGGCATCGATACTCAGTTCTGCCAAAGAGGGCAACAGGCTCCTCAACTGCTACTAAAAGATGCAGTGAAGCTCATCTGCCAGCATTCTGAGTATGACCAATTAAAAAAGGCTTTGTAGAAATTTCAAACCTACAAGCGTGTAAAAACAATCTGTGGAAAACTTTTCAAGGTAACTCTGAATCTCAAAAGCTTTGGTAAGTAACAAAACAAGAGCTGAGAACAGCACGGCGCCACTGTACCACTTGTGAAATCACAGTCTAATTGCCTTATCATAACATTTGCTTATGTTAGCATTTCCTTGGACTTCTCCCAGGAAGCACTGATTTGCCCCGGAGACTGGTACCTTAGCAGAGATTTATTCCAACTAGGAATCTCAATCCACAGGGGAGGATGAGAACAAGAGTTCCTCAACTACACTTCCTATGAGAAGCTGAAGTGGCATTTTGCCCAAAAGTATTTCCTTTTCATTGAAAACCAAACCCATTTTCCTACATGTTCTAATTTTGAGGTCATATTGGCAACAAGTGGTTTAAAAATAACTTATTCTATTTAATAGAAATGCTGACAGATAGCATGATTAATTTCTGGTCAGGCAACCAGAGAACTTTCTCCAACTGCCACACTTGGATTTTCTGAGATGTCAGGCTGTTTCAAGTAGGTTGCAAAATAGTTTGCCCTGTAAACACCTGATTTGCTGGTAACAGGCATGTCAGCCCAATATAACGAGAATTGCCATCCGATGGGAAAGCGTTAAGTAATACAGTTCACACAGGCTACATATTTGAGGATTCAGGAGAGAAGCACAGGAATTGCTGCAAATGCGTGCTGAAATTTCTACTAATTTTGTCTGGATCTCAAAATCCCTGCACAGGAACTCTAGAGAAACACGAGTGAACATTTTCTACTTGAATTCTTTGCAGTGCACTTCACGTTTCCATACAAGCATAGCATGCCTCCGACATGAGACAACCCAACCTAGGCTGCAACAAGCTAGCAGGGTATTTTCTACTAAACTGACAGCATCATCGCTACTGTAAAACATTTTATACCCTGTTTTGGAATTATTTTGGCTGAAAGTTATCTGTCCCTGATTTTTCTATATTTAGCAACTGATTTTTGTTCTGTAATTAACAGCATTTTACAACGCCCCAAGAAGAAACAAACCAAACCACCAAAGACACTATTTCCTTTTCACTTTTACAACCCCAAATCCAGCTTGGGCCCAGAGAGAGGATCACAGAGAAACAGTATTTGAAGATAAACCTGGTGAAAAGCCAAGACAGGAAAATCAAAATCTAATTAAATCACAAGACATAGCATTATATCAGAGACAAAACGGTAACAAAGGCTGAAAGCGCTGAGATCTTTTGGAGAAAAGAGAAAACAGAGCCACTTTCAGTTCTGTTACATTTCAAGGTTATCTCTACCAGAAGGCTAACTGCAGACAGCTCGACATCGGAATGGTCACGCCCATTGGAAACAAAAAACCAAAAACCAAACAAGGAAACCTGCACCGCTTTTGCAATCCAGGAGATTACATTAGACTAAACATTAGACCAGTTCACAAACCACCAAACAAGCATCTACAAGAGATATGGAAAAGACAAGTGCTATTCGCATAGTGAACTTATAAATTTATGTTGCCGTTTATTTTTATGCAAATTGATATATTTTGAAAACACGGCTCCAAAGCCAATTTAAGGAGAGCTTTGGCACCATTATTCTTCTGATCACATGAAAAGGTATCATTTTAACCCGTACCAGTTCACTGGCAACTCAGGGCAGCAGAGACAGAAACAATGTTGTCACGGAGAAAAGTCCACATTAGAAGCACTCTTGGCTTCATTGCCTTGTGCATCATCAGGTTACGTCTGCAGAACAAATTACTGCAAGATAAACTAGCATGTTAATTCCTGTCTTATTAGCTGCTCTGCTGTAAGAATGTGTTCACTTTTACCCTTCAGTGAGCACAAGCCAGCAATTTATCTTCCAGTGAGAGACGGGGAAAGCTTTCACATTAACTGAAGTTAGATCAGGTGGGAACTGATGACGGTGCAAATTTGGAGCTTAGTTTGCCCTGCAGGAGTTCACATATGTACCTGTACCTCGAGATAAGCAATTCATTTACATTTTGCATAAATGTTTCTTGCGTAGCAGTTGCTGCTACAAGGTGATCCAAACTACAGATTTTGCAGGGCAGAAGGACAGTACTGGCACCTGAATTGCATTCAAAAGTTTAAGTGGTTAGATTTTAGGCTAGGTGTACTACAAATTTCACAATTCTAAGCAACCACCTGCAGTTTCAACACCGAGGACAAAAAAAAAGAGTGAACACCCATTTTTATCTTTCTTCTGAACTCTAGCCTTCACAAAGATTATTTAATCTGCACTGAGTTATGTGG